CAAAAAATCAAAATATTTATTTTATCAAAGATTTTAAACTTTCTGTATATTGGTTTCGGTGAAAACATGACATGTATGTAAAGTTTATAGACACAATAAGCCAAACTTAACCTAGTTTGAAGAGCCAAATATTTTAAATAAAGAGGATGAATAACTATTTTGAAGAGGGATTTGAATGAAATGAAATATCAATATATTAATATTAAAATATATCTGTATATTAATACCTATATGTTAATATTAAAAGCAAAATTTTGAATTCTTCCACTAGAATCGAAGTTTGTTTTGAAGTGCATCCTACAATTTTAATGATGTTTTGCTAGAAACCGAAATTATTTATCGGTAATTAATTCTTTGATATTAAGTTTACTTAAGCTTATTAAATTGTATTCGTTATTGAAAGATTTTTAAAATAGATTTTTTATCTATATTAATAGATATTTTTATCTATATTGATAGATATTTTTTATCTGTATTATTAGATATTTTTATCTATATTAATAGATATTTTTTATCTGTATTAATAGGTATTTTTATCTATATTAATAGATATTTCTTATCTATATTAATAGATATTTTTATCTATATTATCTATCTTAAACTGGTTTGAAGAGCCTAATGTTTGAAATAAAGAAGATAAATAACTCTTTCGAAGAGGGGAAGAGTGATTTGAATGAAATGAAAGGCTGTCCGTATAATGCAGGTTGTTTATAAAGTCCCTTACCCATTTTGATGTTTAATAACTCATAAAATAATAAAGACAGATTAAAATTAATATCATAAATGGTTAGATTAACTCAAAAAGTTTCATGACCCTTGTCAATGAACTTCCACGCGTGGCCCCTTCGTCACACGGAGAATATCAAGTCGATAGTCAATTTCACGCCAGGTAGCGGCAAGCATGTCGGCATCCACAGAGGCTATTGCGGTTGTAATTCTGGCTTTTAGGTCATCAATGTTCGACACGATCCTCCTGTAAACATTGTCCTTTATAAATCCCCAAAGAAAAAAGTCCAGCGGCGTTATATCAGGTGATCTGAGTGGCCAAGGAATGGGACCTCCTCGCCCAATCCATCTTCCTGGAAAATGGTCATTCAAAGAACTACGAACGATGATACCCCAATGAGGTGGTGCACCATCTTGTGGCAAAAAGACATGTGGCTGAAGCTCTTCTAGTTGTGGAAATACGAAGTTTTCCAACATGTCTAAGTATATGACTGATAAGACCGTCTTTTCTGTAAAAAAGAAAGGGCCAATGACTCGGTCGTGCATTAGTCCACACCACACATTAGCCTTTGGGGAATCCCTTTGTGTCTCACGGTATTCATGGGGGCTTTCAGATCCCCATATGCACACATTATGGCGATTAACAATGTCGGAAACATGAAAGGATGGTTCGCTGGAGAACATTATGCGCTTCATTATCCTAGCCATCCCCTTGGCCACCCCGATCACCTGATATAATGCCGCTGGACTTTTTTCTTTGGGGATTTATAAAGGAAAATGTTTTCAGGAGGATCGAGTCAAACATTGATGACCTAAAAGCCAGAATTACAACCGCAATAGCCTCTGTGGATGCCGATATGCTTGCCGCTACCTGGCGTGAAATTGACTATAGACTTGATATTCTCCGTTCGATGAAGGTGGCACACGTGGAAGTTCATTGACAAGGGTCATGAAACTTTTTGAGTCTATCTAACCATTCATGTAATTAATTTTAATCTATCTTTATTATTTTATGAGTTATTAAACATCAAAGTGGGTCCGGGACTTTATAAACACCCTGTAATATCAAAAATAAAATTGAAATTTCTTCCACTAGAAAAGAGGTTTATTTTGAAGTGCATTCTACAATTTTAATGATGTTTTGCTAGAATCCGAAATTATTTATCAGTAATTAATTCTCTGATGTTAAGCTAATTTAAGCTTATTAAAGTGTAAATGTTATTCAAAGATTTTATGAAATAGATATTTTTATCTATACTAATAGATATTTTGTCTATATAAATCTATATTATCTATCCTGAACTAATTTGAAAACTAAAATGTTTGAAATAAAGATTATAAATAACTATTCTGAAGAGAGATTTGAATGAAATGAAAGGCTGTCTGGATACAAAATTGCGAATTCTTCAACTAGACTCGAAGTTTATTTTGAAATGTAAAACTACAACTTTAAATGATGTTTTGCTAGAATCTGTAATTATTTATCAGTAATTAATTCTTTGATATTAAGTTTACTTAAGCTTATTAAAGTGTACTCGTTATCAAAGGATTGTATGAAGCAAATATTTTTATCACGATAAAATTTAAAGCATTTCATCACATGTTCCGGAGAACTTCTGTTGAATTCCAAGTAGTTTAAGCATAGTACAAAATTTACAGAACATTATCTATTTGGAATGCTTTTCTGTACGGTTTTTAAATAATGTGTTTTAAGTTAAGCAAACCAGTAAAAATAAATAAATAAATAATTAAACAAAATTACTTCTGGAAAATTAATACCAATTTTCAAAGCACAAAAGACTTTTAGAGTTTTAATTATTATTATAATAACTTCATTTATGTCCATAAAATTTATTTAAATATCGAAGAATTTATTTAGACTTAACATGTGTGTAAGATTGTGTATTACATTCGTAGTCTTAAATGTTTCTCTTTTTTGAAACGCAAAAGTGTTCAAAGTTACTTAAAAGCAAATTGCACTGTATTTTTTCGTCAATATGAATGCCAAGAATGTTTTTTCGAATGTTACTGTCAAGTAAAAATAAAAATCTCAATTTTTTTTTTAAAAATACTGTTACAATTAAGGTATCCCTTTTAAATTTAAAAATAAATGTTTTAAATTTTTTTTTCGTCCTTTCAATTTATCCTCTCAAATTATCTGTAATATTTTTATTAAAATAGTCAGTATCTTCATTCGATATTAATTCTACACTGAAAAAAAAGTATGGTCAAAACTGCCAGAACATGGTATAATTTGCTGTGTTTCTGGTTCTATGGGAACACCAAATAGCTCGGTAATTTTTACAAAAGCGCTTTGGCAATGATTTTGATATAATTAACAACAGAATAGGTAAAAAAGGGATACAGTGGTGGCCAGAAGTGTGGACATTTTTTGAAAGTTTCATGTTTTTCAACTTCGTGTGCTTGTAGAATATATTAATTTTCACTTAAATACAAACGTTTACATATCAAATTGAAGGTAACTTAATGTAGAATTTAATAATAAATACAGTATTACAATATTTGTGCTACAAAAAAGTTATGCAACTAATAGTAAGATCTATCTCAGATCAGTCCAAATCCTGATAACCTTCTTCTTATTGTTCCTGAACTTACTGCAATACCCGCTGAATTCATTTCACATCCAATGGCATCTGGTGAAATTTTTCTATCTTGAATGTATCGCCGTTTAATTTTTTTATCGGCAGTAGCACTTGTGCATTTTTTGCGGCCTGATGTGGCTTTATTTTCCACTGATTTCGTTTTTCATAACGTAAACAGAACCTTCGTGCACCAGAACAAGTCACAGAACCACAAACTTGTCTTGCAATTTCAGCATAAGAGAGGCCATTTTCTCTCAATATGACAATTCGGCTTCTTTTTGTAGATGTTCAATTAGTTCTTCTTGTTGAAGACATTGTTTAAAATTAATTTAATTAAATAAAAGGACTTTAAATATTAAAAAACTGCAATACTCTATTTAATTGCACTAGTATGCATCATTCCGCAAAATATTTTCATAACAATAACTCTTTTACCATCCAAGTAACCTAAACTATAGTTACAGACATTTGATTGGTCCTAAGAACAGTGTTTGTGACACGCTAGTACGCTTTTATTACAAAACACGTCCTTATTCGAAACGATTTGTGTTTGTTTGGTTCTACTAAAATGAGCATAACTTTTTTGTAATACAGATATTTTAATTCTGTTTTGTTATTAAATTCTACATTAAAGTATCTTCAATTTGATAGATAAACGTTTGTGTTTAAGTGAAAATTAATATATTCTACAAGCACTCAAAGTGGAAAAACATGAAACTTTCAAAAAAGGTCCACACTTTTGGCCACCACTGTATATTTTGTGCTGCGAAGACTAAAGCAAAACACTCTATAAATAAAGTACAAATGAAAATAAATAAATGAACATGTATGTACGTTTATGTACTTTTCATGAGTTATTCTTTGTTTTAATTCTAATAAAATTGGTTTTTATAATATATGATAAAATTTGGTAATTTTAACATGATACCTTAGAGCATGGCAGAAAAACCGGTTATTAGGTTAAATTAATTTTTTAGTTTTATATTTTTTATTATATGTGTGGTAATAAGAACATAGATTTTGAAAACTGGAATTTCCAGGAAACCGTCACCATTTTAACTGAAAAAATATCAAATGAATGATTTAAATTATGTATATTTTGGTTTTTGCTACCAAAATTATGGTTTATTATTTTTTTAAATCAGAAATGTCATTATCATGCCGTAAGATAATTTTATTGGATTTTTTTCTCGATGTATATTACAATGAGAATTCTTGTTCTTATGAGATTTAATTCTACAAAATAACATTAAGCTTAGTTTGTTTAATTACTTTTGGCTTGAATCAACTACAATAGATTTGAGTTTTTTTAATTCTTTTTATAAAAAAGTAGGTGTTAAAACGTGTAAAGTTCTTTTAGTTTAACAGATTTTATCTTTTCATAACTAAGAAAAGTTGTTGACTTGCGAGCTAGTTATTATTACATAAACTTTTTGGTTAAAAAATATTCTGAACGAACGACAATTTAAAAAAAGAGCAATTAATTATTAACATAAGAAAAATCTTCAACAACATGCTGACTCATTTAGAGCAACTTTGATCTCTAGTATTGGAAAAATGCAGCAGACGATGACGATGTTATCGTTTGGTACTTTTCTAAATGTTCGAACATCCCTTGAGGACGGCTTCGAAGTCTTGCACGCATGTATGAATTTTAAGGGAGGGGCGCGTATATTTAATGGTGGTTCATCTCGTTAGAGAAATTTTTTTTACCTCTATAATTTCTTAAGACTCTTATATGGAAGAGAATCTTCCAACCAAAGAACATATCGGAAAATTCGAAAGAAACGTTCTATTGGAGTTAAAAATTTGTTCCTGGCGGGGTTTGATATGTATTTTATTTCCTTGGTAAGTTCGTGGTTACGTTTTTATTTGTTGAATTTATGTTTTTTAAGTTTTCATTCGTTGATTCTTATTTCGATGAGTGTAAGGGTTTAAAATTAATATTTAAAAAAAAGTGACATTTTTAAAGGGTACTATATTTTGAAAAAAAAAATTTCAATTTATTTTTTTCTTCTTTTATAAAACTATTTTATTTTGAAGTAAGCTATAAAAATTATATGCAACTACATATTTTTATGAAAAGGAGTTTGTCTTGAGAACAATATCGTAAGTATTTTTCATAAAGCGAGACGTTATTTAACTGCTGAAGAACTGCTCTAAAATTAAAATAATAATTAAGCGTTTCAATTAATAGAAAGTTTTCGAAATGGTTTTAAAAATTTCAACTTTAAACTGTTTTAATTAAACTTTAACACTTTAAGACACAATTAAAGAACAAAATATTTAAACTAGTTTTGAAATACTTCCATAGAAAATATGAATTTCGTGTTTTCCTAAGTTTAAACATTGCAAGGCGGCTGTCTAATGTAGGAACTTCGATAATATTTAAAGTTATTGCTTGTTTCTTTTAAGAAAAATACACATTATTGAAGTGTGACAAAATAAACCACACCTATCTACAAATTTTCATTGGAATAAATCACCGTAATAGATCAAGCATTTTGCATAAAAAAAGGTACTTGGTTTCAATGGTTTAGAACTGCGCTTCAGAAGTTGAATAATAAGCAAACAATAATAGTAAGGCATTTCCGGAATCTTTTTCAAAACGTTTGTTTTGAACTTTTGAATTTGATTAAAATTTAGCATATTTAAAGTAGAATATTACTCTACATCAATGGTTTAACTGTTGAAAATCTGTAAGTAAGTCTTACAATATTTCTTTAGAAAAACATCAATCTGAGTATTTAACACAAAAAAAACACAGCCTTATGCTGATAATTGGAAAAGAATAGAAGCTTTTATTTAATTTTTACGCAAAAAATAAATACTCATTATTAAAGTGAGGTATAAAAAACGGCTGTAAGTACTTATATTTCAAAAATAAATTATTATAGTGAAGACGTAGTAGGCATTTTTCAAAACAAAAAAGCGACTTAGTTCCACTGCTAGTTCTGTTTCAGAATTAGAATCTTAGGTAAACGATTTTAGTTAAAATACATTTTTGGAATCGTGTTGAAAACTTTAATTCTCAACTTTTGGATTAATATTTAACACATCAAGACCCATTTAAGATATAATAGTATTCTATAACAATATTTTACCTGTTCAAAACATATAAGCTACTTTTACGATATTACCTTAAACATATAATTGAAGAAAAAAAAGATTCTTTATTAAAGCGTCACATAAAAAAAGCGCTTGTAAACATATATTTTTCTAAAAGGAATTGTTATAGTAGGGCATAGTAAGCACTTTTCATAAAGAGGGACTTAGGTTCATCGTGTTAGAATCGCTTCAGAATTAAAATCATAAGGATACGATTCTAGTTAAAATACATTTTCGGAATTGTGTTCGAAACTTTCATTATTAACTTTTGTTACTGATTAAAATTTAGTACACCAAAACTTATTTAAGATGTAATAGTATTCTACAACAATATTTTAACTGATTAAGCTAGTTTTACCATATTTCGTATGGAAAGCATGAAATGTGAATAATTTTCATGTTTTCACAATACAAGAACACGGCCTTAAAGACAAAATTTTAAAAACATTGAAGCTTTTATTTTTTTTAAAAGAAAAAATGCTCATCATTAAAACGAGTTATAAAAATCATATTTAACAACACGTTTTTCGTAATTTCGAATTATTATCGTTAAGACAGATTAAGCATTTTTCATAAAAGAAAGATTTAGTTTCGCTGTCGTAGATCTACCTCTAGAACTGTAAAACTTAAAAATTCTAGCTATTATTCATTTTTGGATTAATTTTAATTTTTTCATTCATAACTTTTGTTGTCGTTTACAATTTAGCAAATCAGAACATATTTAAGATAGAATAATATTCCTAAACCATATTTTAACTGTTAAAAATAAAAAGTTAGCTTTACAATCTCGTATGCTCATACATTGCAAGACAACAAAAATTGCAGAAAAATCGAAGTTTATTTTTACTTTTTTTATTCCGAAAAAATACTCATTATTGAAGAGATATATAAAAAAAACGCAGGTAACTACACATTTTCACTGAAAAGAATCATTACCGTAAAGAAATATTAAGCATTTTTCACAAAAAGAGACATACTAAGAAGAGCAAAAATAATTGCTCCTAAAAAAGAGCTGTTTCTTTAGCATAAAGTTCGGAGATAAACTTAAAGTACCCATAAAAATGCAGTAAAAGTCTTTCTTTACGCCTTCAAAATGTTGGATGGATATTTTAGATTCATGCTAATTGACTAGAGCCATCGGCGATCAAAATGCAGTTAAACAGTAGACCATAGCCGTGCCCAGCCTTAGACACGGATGAAAGCGCATTTATAGCTCATTTTGTAATGAAAATAAATATTTATTTTGGTGGTAGAGAGATCAATGTTATAGGTTCCTGAATTTTCGAGCACAAAAAATATAATCAGCGACTTAAAGCTCATTTCAATAACTGTTTTTTTTTTTTTTTTTTTTTTTTTTTTTTTTTGGCTTCATTCTTTATGGAATGAAGTATCCAAAATAATGAAGAGAAATAGGAGTGTCTTCCCTAATGTTGTACAGAAAGTGTTATGTTCTAAAAGATAACATTCAATTCCGATATTGATTTCTTTGGGAGAGATCTTTGATGAAGTCCACTTTTTCTGTCTAAAAATTATGGTTTAATAAGATTTTATCTGCTATCTGTAGACAATTGCTCTTAAAGAATGACGCAGTTAGATCCGAATTTCAATTAAATAATAGTCGGCTTCTTTGCTTAAACTTTTATATGGATTAAGATGCATTTATTGTCTACTTTGAAAAAAAAAATATTTGTTTTGGTGATAGAGAGATCAAAGTTTCAGGTTCTTGAAATTTTGTGCACAAAAAACGTAATCAGCGACTTAAAGCTTATTTCAATTACTGCTTTTTTTTCTTTACTTAGGGCTACTTCATGGAATGAAGTATCCAAAATTATGAAGCGAAATAAGAGTGTTGTTATCTTTTCTTCCCTATTGTTGTTAAGATAATGTTATGTTTTGCAAGAAAACATTTAATTCCGGTATTGATTTCTACGAGAAAGGTCTTTGATGAAGTCCACTTTCTCCGTCACAAAATTTATGGATTAATTATAATTATTTAATAAGGATTTTATCTGATGTCTGAAGACAATTACCCTTAAAGAATGACTCAGTTAGATCCGAACTTCAGTTATAAAAGAGAAGTTTAACATGGATTAAGTTGCATTTATGCGTAGTTCATAGTGCAATGTTCACTTTCATGATGAGTTCAAAATTAGGGTTTCTTGCAATTAAGTAAGCAAAAGGATGAAATTTAGAGACTTGAAGTTTATTTCATCAACTGTTTTAATTTGGTTTCATTTAGGATTGCTTTATGAAATGAAGTATTCAGAGATAAATTATGAAGAAGAATATTAGTGTTGATCTCCTTTCTCCCCTAATATTGTACAGAAAGTGCTATGTTTAGACATATATCAATAATTCCGATTACGATATCCATGTGAAATATTTTTAATAAACATACCTTCTCTGACTCTTCAAAATGGTTTGATACGCTTTTATCTGTATTTCTATGAAAATTGTCTAATAAGAATTACGTAGTTAGATCTAAGATTCTGTTAAAGATTTCAACCTTTTTGGTTATGCGGCCTCCAAATGGGTAAGAATAAAAAAGAAATAAATACAAAACCTCAGTGACCGATACTGTTTATAAAAAGAAAATGGAAATAATTTTTTTTAATAATTTTTTTCTAACATAGATCCACTTATGGGGAAACTTTAAATGAAAACTCTGGTGTAGATTGTAGCCATGCTCCTTCTTTAACGGATGAAGGTGCATTTTATAATAAAACTAAATATTCACTTTGGTAATAGAGATGTGAAATTATTGATTTTTGCAATTTAATACACAAACGAAATCAAAACCTTGAAGCTCATTTCAATAACTGCTTTTGTTTGTGTTTATTTACGGATATTTCATGGGATAAACTATTCCGGTTAAAGTTAGGAGTATAAAGAGAGATACATTGTACAGAAAGTATTATATTTTACAAGGCAGAACCTAATTTTGAAAGCGATTTCAGTTTGTATGGTGTTTTAGTAAATAGAGTCGATTTGACCGAAAATAATTGTCTCTTTTCGCTTTATACTTTATTTTATTTTATTTTATTTATTTTATTTTATACCGTTGGTGAACAGCCGATCCAATTTTTTATGTTTACGACTACTAATGTTCAACTCCGTAGCCTTGTAATTTTGAACCCTATCCAGAAGAAAAGCGAACTCGATAAGTTTTGGGAGAAATTCGCCTTTGTGGAGGACTTCTTGATGGAGCTAATCCGCATTGGGATTACATGGATAGGAAAAGCACAAAAACCTTCCACGCTTAGTCAAATTGAGGAGGTTCTCTAACCCATGATGCGTCAACCACTGAGGATATTTATACGTCAATATTGTGGTCGGTGCGAGCCGGGTGCGGAATTCGTATAGACTAGCCATCACTGGGATTCGAACCCGGTTCACCTCATTGGAAGGCAAACGCTCTACCCCCTGAACCACCACAGCTCTTCCCCCTTTATTTTTTTTAATAACCATCGTTGAATAGCTGACCCAATTTTTGGGTTGACTACTAATGTTCAACTCCAACTCCGTAGTCTTGTAATTTTAAACTCCACCAGGAAGACAAGGGAACTCCTGAATCAAATATTGGGAGAAATTTGCTTTCATGGAGGACTTTTTTGATAGAACTAACCCGCATTGGGATTACATGGATAGGAAAACCACAAAACACTTCCACGCTTAGCCAGACTGAAGGGGTACTCTAACCCATGACCCGTCTACCACCGAGGCTATTTTACGTCACCGCT